ATCTGCTTGATAATGGGTTCCTCTGCTGGGACATATAATTCAAATAACATGGTCTAGCACCACCAGATTAGATCCAATTAGAATGGATCACAGAGTAGTTTACAGATAATATAATTGATAAATTGGATAAAAAAGTGTTTGATTGGGGATTTGAGGAAGGATTTGGAAAGGGAAAGGGAAAATGTGTGTGAAACTAGGTGAAATGTAAGTATATTTTATTCACATTTCGCCTAACTTTTCCTTTTCGCTTTCCAAATCCCTTCCTAAATCCCCCAACCAAACACAGCGTAACCAAACACAGCGTTATGGTGAAATTCATCTTGAAAATAAATCTCAACCAATCAATGCACTTTTTGCGTTCCATTATATGTTTCTATTATGTGTTCTTAGCATCAGTGTATCGTCTATCTCTAGAATGCATGTCCGCTGTCTTAGGCTTCCTGTAGTAGTTGGCCAAAATAAATAAAATAAATAATTTATTGGTTCAAAATAAAAGCTAATGCTAAAAATCCTAATTTGGTTAGCTTTTTTGAAATTTTTAATGGTTTTGTAAAGAGTAACTAGACTTTTTTGACAAGTTTGCCAAATGAGTCCACGTTTTTTTTGAGCTTTAAGCCAATATAAGTCCACCTTTAAGCCAGTAAGTCGACTTTTAAGCCACAATCAAATGAAACTTTAATACATTTTCAACCGCATGTTTGGTGTTTTGAGATTTTGGTTAATCTTGAGACACAATCGTGACTGGAAATGTATTGAGACAGTTGAAAAGAATTTTGTGGAGAGACATTCCTGACCATTTGAGAGTGCTATATATATATATTGAACTTACAAGGATGTTGAGCTTGCCATCAAAGACAGAACACACGGTTTTCATCAGCTCCTCCTGTTGAGCTCTTGATGACAAGTCACAAGCTGAACCACTCACTTTGTATCCCTTACCTGCCCATTCTTTTAACCTCTCATCAATCTCTTTCTGGTTCCTAGAGCATGTATGTACAACAGCTCCAAATCCTGCTAGTTCTTCCACTATGGCATATCTGAAAATCCATTTTCACAAAACAAAAACAACCCAATTGATCGTGTTTTAAAATTTGTGTATTTCAAGATTCTCATATAGTTGTAAGACTGTGAGTGTATATTGAGATAGAAAATAGAGAAATTTGATAACAGGGAACGATTGAGAGATAGATAATGGGTAGTGATTGACTGACCCGATGCCTCTGGTACCACCAGTGACAAGAGCAGTCATGCCCTTGAGAGACCATCTCTTGTCTCTGCAACTCATAAGCTCTTCACTTGCCATGTTTTGGTTTTATTTATTTTTTGTTTTTTTATTTCTACAACTCCTTTTTCCACACTCAATTGCTATATATATAGCCAAGGAGAGTTAGATTTATTGCAGGTATTGGGGCTTTCCTCATCTGGTGTGGTGTACACATGTACTCTTTCAATAAGTCGAAACAAAATCGACTACGGAATCTATCACAAAAAATAAAAATAAATAAGCAACAGATATTTTGTTAGACTTGTCCTGTATCGTTTCTTTAAACCATCTAAATTTGGTTGATATATTCCACACCGTTTTTCACTCATTTCTAATTAGTTTTTAGTTAAATACTTTAACATAATCAAGTCTTTATTTGAGTTTATCTCTGTGTCGATGAACTTGGCCCGTTTATTTGAGACTAAGTAGGTGTTTGGCATGCACAAAAAAAGTATATTTTTTTTACATACATACATTTATTTGGGTCACATCAATCAATATCTATCAATATTTTTTCTCTACTTTTTTATCCACTACTTTTTTACACATTTTTTATTATTTATTTATAAAAAGTCAAAAACTACACTTATTTAGAATATTTCAAACTACTCTTAATTTTATAACTTCAATATATATATATATATACAAAGCTAACTCATTTTTTTGATTTTTGATTTTTGATTTTTATTTTGATTTTGATTTTTTTTTTTTTGTTAATGGGGATACCAACTATGCTGTCATATATAATATATTTTGAGTTACAATCAAATCGTTAGTCAATAGCTATATTCAATAGCTTAATAAAAAAAATTACTTACTTTAATATATGTACGATGTTATCATATAGTTTGAGTTACAATCAAATTGTCAATCAATAGCTTCACTTCATTGTGACACTTTGTAATAAAAAAATTACTTGGTTAAATATATGTATTAACAAGAAGATTAACTTCTTTATTTCCGCCAACATAGTTGTTTGTTAGTTCGCCATTTAAATGAGAGGATTGAATATCGTGGTATTAGAGGGCGATGAGTAATTTAATTGTTGGATAATTTTCACTGTATTTAAAAAAATAAATTTTGTTTGTGTACTAAACAACAAATAAATACAAAAGAAATAAAGAAAATGAGAGAGATTGTTTGATTACAAAAATCAAATTAATAAAAAAAAATCAAATTTTTATTTTATAACAAAAATAAAATCAAAATCTGATTTAAATAAATAAAACAGAAAATTAACAACTTACTTGATTAATTTCTTAAACAATATTCTGATCAAGTCCAGTGTGTGACACTGTGTCCTTAAGACAGATTCATCATTTCCACGGTGCTTTTAGATTCTGTATGAATTCTATTGTCTTGGCTTACACAAACGGTTGAACAGTTCAAGGCATCATGTCCACTGACTAGCTAGTAAGTCCGATACACTTTCACTGAGGAAGGTTCAAAACCAAAAGCTACCTATCCCGATGCAGGATATTTCCTTAAATGTACTCTCTTTTTAGAAAAATTAGACTCAGGAAATATGAAGAATAATGCAAAGTGAAGAAGAAAATGACAAATCACCATCCAAAATGAAGTGAGGGAGATGGAATATATAGACATCTATGTGACTCTTCAGAAAGGTTGTGATCCTTCAAAAGGACACACCCTTTCATCGCAAAAGACACAACCATTGGAGTAAATTTTAATTCAAATTTTCCAACAATCCCCCATATGAATGAAATTTACGGAAAGGACATGCAACAACATGCAGACAAAAAGATAGTACATTTAAGGAAATATCCTGCATCGGGATAGGTAGCTTTCGGTTTTGAACCTTTCCTAGTGAAAGTCTATCGGACTTACTAGCTAATCAGTGGACGTGATGCCTTAAACTGTTCAGCCATTTGTGTAAGCCAAGACAATAGAATTTACATAGAATATCTCCAGACACAGTTTAGTTCTCACGGTTGTGCCCGTTTTGGCCTTGGGCAGGTCCTGGTGTTTCATGAGTGCTTTAGAAAATTTAGCCTTATCAATTCTCATAGAAGCGGCCCCTTTACATTCATATAGGTGATCCTTATTTCAAGTCTCTCAAATACTTCCCTTGAAAAATACCGCTCTAGGTTTTTCAAGATATAAGTAATCATTAAAAGCATAGCTTACCCTAAATCCCCTACATACAACACATGTTGCAGATATCACTCTTATCATAGGAATGGATAGATAGATCCCTTTAGTGATTTCTGGCGAGCCATACATAACTTATTTGTCCATTTGAACTTAGTTCTTTGGATCTCCAGTCATCTAAGTAGGGTTACCAGTATGATGACTCTGGTATAATAGGCTTTAATCACATTCCCTTTGATGAACTTTCCCTTTTTTGCTCTCTGGTCAAACTTTTTGTTTAGCGAATCCGCGATATTCTCTTTAGATTTTATATAATCTATTGAGATTATTCCATTTGAGAGCAATTACCTTACGGTATATATTGTGACTTACCATTATACATATGATTTTGTGCCCTGCCTATTGCAGATTAACTATCACAATGAATGCAAATAGCTAGCACAGGTTTTGGCTACATTGGAATGTTTTCTAAGAAGTGACGAAGCCATTTTGCCTCTTCTTCTGCTTTGTCTAAAGCAATGAACTCAGATTCCATTATGAATCGTGCGATGCATGTTTGTTTCGTGGATTTCCAAGAAACAACAACGCCTCCCAGAGTAAAGACATATCCACTAGTGGATTTTGAATCTTTAGTATCTGATATCCAATTGGCATCACAATAACCTTCGAGTATTGCTGGATATCGAGTAAAGTTCAAACCATGATCACGGGTAAATCTTAGATATCTAAGAACCCGAATGATCGCTTTCCAATGGTCTTCTCTTGGGTTACTAGTGTACCTACTCAATTTACTGACTAGATAAGCTATGTCAGGACGAGTACAATTCATTAGGTACATTAGGTTTCCAATGATTTTGGAGGATTTTAACTGAGACACCTCATCACCTTTATTTTTCGATAAATAAAGATTGATGTCTACAGGTGCTCTAGCTACATTCATATCATCCTTGATAAATTTTCCAAGAATTTTCTCAATATAATGTGATTGAGATAATGTATATCCGTCAAATGTTTTAGTAATTTTCATTCCTAATATAACATATGCGACTCCCATATCTTTCATATCAAATCTTCTATTCAGCATTTACTTAGTTGATTTGATCATATTCTGAATGCTTCCAATGATAAGCATGTCATCCACATAAAGGCAAACATTGACATATCCTTGGTCAGTATTTTTAACATAGACGCACTTGTCACATTCGTTTATCTTAAATCCGTTAGTAAGCATAACATGATCAAATTTTTCATGCCATTGCTTAGGTGCTTGTTTTAATCCATAAAGAGATTTTACAAGCGAACAAACTTTTTTTTCTTGCCTCGATACTACAAACCCTTCGGGTTGCTCCATATAGATCTCTTCATTTAGATCACTATTTAAGAAAGATGTCTTAACATCCATTTGATGTATTTCTAAATTAAACAACGCTACTATAGCAATAAACATGCGAATAGATGTTATTCTTGTCACAGGAGAATATGTGTCAAAATAGTCCAGACCTTCCTTTTGTCTGTAACCTTTTACTACAAGTCTTGCTTTATACTTGTCAATTAAACCATCTGCTTTCATTTTTCTTTTGAATAGCCACTTATATCCAAGAGGTTTAGAACCAGGTGGAAGATCCACCAATTTCCAAGTATGATTTTGCATAATAGATTCAATTTCATTATTAACAGCCTATTTCCACAAAAGTGCTTCAGGATCTGTCATTGCTTCCTTGAAGCTTTAAGGTTCATTTTCTAACAGTTATGTCAAAAAATCTGGACCAAAGGATTTTGATGTTCTTGTTCTCTTACTTCGTCTTGGTTCATCATCAGTTAAATTCTGTTGGTCGAGACCATTACTAGTTTCTTGTGTTTGATTGTCATTAGTCTCTTGACTTTGTGTACAATCATAAGTTCTTTTCTGTGAACTTAATTCCTGTCATTTCTTGTAAGGAAAGACATGTTTAAAAAATACAGCATTCCTTGACTCTATAATAGTGTTCACATTTATATCAGGTATTTTTGATTTATAAGTCAGAAATCGATATGCACTACTATTCTAAGCATAATTAATAAACACACAATCCACTGTTTTTTGTCCTATCTTAGTCTTTTTAAGAACAAACACCCCCACACTTTTAAGTATTTATAGTAAGGTGGTCGACCTTTCCATAATTCATAAGGTGTGCTATTGGTTTTCTTGTAAGGTATTTTGTTAAGAACATAATTAGTAGACAATATTGCGTCCCCCCACAAATTCTGCAGTAAACCTGAATTTAATAACATGGCATTCATTATTTCTTTAAGGGTTCTATTCTTCCTTTCAGCAATTCCATTTTGCTGTGAAAAATAGGGTGCTATTGTTTGATGAATAATGCCATGTTGTGCACAAAATTCATTTAATGGTGCATCACCACCCCTATCACTT